GTCGCTGCCCGATGCCCATCGTCCTGGCTGTAACATGGACGAAGACTTTCCAGCAGTGGCGGAGTGCTCGCCGTTTGAAACATGCGCTTGCCAGTCACGCTTTGCCTCCTCCGAGATGGTAAGGTCTTCTTCGTTTCAATAGACCCACTGCTCATTCATTCGTGAAAAGGCACGATCTTTTTCCTGTGCGTGACCATGACATCAGCTCCTTCAGCGTGTTCTGACCAGACTGCAGCATCCTGCTCGCCATAAGCATCGCCAACCTACTTTCTCTTTTTCCGGCACGCAGTATCTATCTTAGGCTTTGAACTACTACTGACCTCTTGTAGTCCTACGCTCTACCCTTCACAGGTCTCATTGAATTCCTCGTGCGTGGACCCGTTTCAGCATGCTTCCGCTGAACACCTGCTGACAGAACTCCTATGTAGCCGCCTATCCTCGTCTCCCGTTTCCTCCTCAACCTGCGCGACTGCACCGGGTCAAACACCACAGACCGCAGCCTCCCGCGGCTCTCGGAGCTCAGCGTTCACTTCGCGACGTCGAATGTGTCAAACATCATCGGTAATATCGGCGCGCCGCTGGACTACGCGCAGGCGGAGAGGCTTATCCGCGCTGAGTACGAGCGTCCTGGAGACAAAAGCGGCGTCCCCTTCTCTGATACTGCCGCGTCGACTGCCATTGGCATGTGACTGTGTGCCCGCCGAGGACTCGACGTGTCGGAAAATTCTAGACCCCCTCGCAATGTTCGGATATTGAGAGCGGCTTGAGCGACCCTTTCAAGGGGTTTCAATAAGCGATCAATGATTGGGTTTCCATTCAAAGTACGTCTGCAAAATTACAGCGTATATGCCGCGCTGCAACGTCTAAACGCCCTCGTAATGTCCCTAATCGGGACCGCGGCACCTTGAGACAGCTTGAGTTCCCCGTAACCCCCATCCAGGGTTTGAGTATGTTTGGACGACGCAGCGGCGCTACTTATTGGTCGGACAGAGACGGGATCGTAACCCTACCATCTCTGTCTTCAACCGCCATCTCATTGGCTCTCCCCCTCAGCGTCAACATCTCCAGCTCCCTCGTTCTGTCCTGCGGCGGTACGCCAGGATGTACAGTCCAGGGTACTCTGGTAAGTTTGCAGCCTCGTGTTCTCACTCAGCCGGCTGAAATTTACTGACTACCGAGCGACATATAGGATTGCCATGGCGGCCGCAGCTGGAGGCGACCTTATCCATATATCCAACAAGCACCAGCCCTCTCATGCCCCATACACCAGCCACCCGTAACGTCCTGGAGCTGCGCGCGTCGCCGACTGTGCCCAGGCGGCTGTCGAAGCTGCCAACGGCACCTCCGATGCCTACGCTCCAACCCGGCTAAGTACCGCCGAGGGATGAAGCACCCCCCATATTAGAAAAGGTATGTTACCTGCTATCACACCGTTGAATTACTGAGCTAATTGCATTCCCAGCACCGTGACATTTTGCTTATCCAGCCGGTGAGTACAGCCATTGCCTCCCTATGATATATCGGTATATTATTGCCTGTTGTGTATGTAGTACATGTATAAACTATCATAATATGTATATTTTAAAAGATTTGAGTGCTATCGAGACCAGTCAACGGCCAACATGAAGCCCAAGGATGAGCTGCCTGGTCGCCTGTCCGGCGCCTCAGTAGCCCAAAATGGTATATTGAGCGGACATTGCGGGCACCTTGAGATGCCTCGGAATGGAATGTCGGCATCTCTCAATATTAACGTTCTTTAATTAAGGGCTTGCAATGTCCTGCTCTCATTGACGCCTTGACTTGCCTTGAAAGGCATTTCAAGGGGAATTTTATTTTTCCGACACGGGAGGACGCACAGAGGTTGCGAGCACAGCGGAGCGGCAACGTGGCAGGTCCCACGAGGTTGTTGACGGAGGGGCAGGCTCGCGGAGTTCCTCACTGATGCGCCTCGGAGTCAACGACGTCTCTATCTTATACTAGATTGGAAAGCGAGAGCAGTCTGCGGGCGGGCGTTGATGACCGAGCTCGCCATGGTTTGCTGGCTTGGCGCCGTTGACCTTTCTAGGAAGTTTTTAAAAAATAGTACTACTACTCTCGGGCATTGTCCTTGAGTTGACGGACAACCAGGACTCTGCTTCATACCTATGCAGTATAACCCACCACTACTTCTGCCTCGGCGGATCTGTGGGCTAAGAAATAGGCCACACAGCCTCCAAATTGTCTGGCACCTCATGGCGAGAGCGACGGAGATCAGTAGGATATCTCAGATGCCGAAAATACAGAGAAAATGAAGATGAAAAAAGAGAAGGTGAAAAGAAAAGAGGCTCAAATATATCCCGTCAAGGTATTTCGCTGTGGCGTCCCTTGGATACCATTAGGTACGTCTTCGATGGCGTCCTCGAATGTGCCCTAGATTCGTGGCCAGTCTACTCGGCAGTTGCCGGAACGCGTACCGAGGGTATATGGGTGGTCAATATGCTGAAATATCATGGCTAGGTGGCTGGTATCGAGCCTAGACGTACCCTGCGATTCATGATATTGATTCCAGGATATGTTTGGACCTTTACCACGGTTGAAGTTGTCTCTCTGTTTGTTCTTTGCCAACGGCCATATTGAGTCGAGGAAATGCTGCCGGAACAGACGGTCCCAGAGCCGTTCTGAGAGCTCTTCCGGCGGCATGATAAGCAGCTCGAGAGACGAGCCGATTCACTAAGTATTCCAGCTGTACAAATAGTCGAAGAAGCGCCCTGCGCATAAATACATCGTGCTGGCTATGTAAAGATGGTTATGCAGATCCTACGTCCCCGGTACGGTAACTCAATCTAGTGGCGACTGCGCTGCCTTCCCTGATGCGCACGGCGGTCTTCATTCGCGCAGTATCTGCCGCAATGATCGAAGCCGTCTGCGCGCGGCTTCTTGTGGCACCACTGCATAGACACGACTCAGCCAAAGTGCGCATGAAAACGGTATCCTCTGGAGTCCTGACCTTGCAGAGCGGCTTGTTATTGCGCGGCTGGCGAAGATTTCCCCTAGATTGAAATTGGTCACGGCGGAAGGCGAAACACGAGGCGTTGATCATACCCAAGAGACTTGTCCCGCCCGTGAAGGGTTGTTTGGCTGCACAGAAAGCAAAGAGGCACGTCAGTCATCAGGTCCGAACTATGAAGCAACGGGGACGGCGCACTCGAATGATCTCAAGACGGCGCCAGTTGTATGCCCCACGTCACCCACTCCGC